AAAAAAAAAAAAAAAAAAAAGACTAAAAGAAGGTCTCACTAAATTGCTCAGACTGACCTTGAACTTGTGATCATCTGGCCTCAGCCTCCTAAATCACTGGGATTATAGTCTTGTGCCACCTCACCCATACAATTGTGAGTGTGTTTTATGCTGTAGTACTCAAGAGCTTTGGTTTAGAAAGTAGATGGGTCAGATAGTTGGATGGTCTGGGATTTTGAAAGAATGACAGATGCTCTGGATCTGAGCAGCAGAGGACAAGAAGTAAAATCAGGGAAGAGATGATAGTGTAGAGAAAATAGGGTATTAGGACTAAGGGCTTTAGAGAAATGCTGTTTGTCTACAGTTTATTCATATTCCAGTTCAGGTCTCTTCACTTTTTACATTTTTTGCTTCTCAGATTGGGGATTAGAGAGTGAGCAGCCTGGGTTCTGGGTAGACCCATGAATCAAGCCTTTCTCCCCTCAGATTCCCTTTTTCTCAAAAGGCATTCATACCCAGTGTAGCAGGTCTGAAGAGCTTTGGTGACCTTAGGGCCAGCAACATCTGATCCAGCATCTGAATTAGAACCAGGGAGTGTGTTAGAAATGGAGAATTTTAGGCTGCATTCTAGACCTGCTGAATCAGAAGTGCATTTTAATAAAACCACCAGGTGATTTATAGGAATGAAGTTTGAGACACACTGCTGTAGAGTAGATGTTAGGAGGGAATATAGTAGATGAGACATTTCATGGACATTGAATTACTTTCAAAAGCTTGCAGTGGTAGTCTCAGCTTTCATAAGCCACTTTCCTGTCTTCTGCAGGGAAGTGGTGGAATACATGGTCCAGCATTTCAAGCCTCAGATCTTTGGGGATCGCAAGCCTGTGTATGATGGAAAGAAGAACATTTATACTGTCACTGCCCTGCCCATTGGCAATGAACGGGTAAGACTGGGAGTTAGGCTAGGCCTGGGTCAGGGGTCTGGAACGGAACAAAGCTCCTGTAAGCCTGTCTGGAGTCTGGTATTCCAGAGACCCTTTCTGTCTTTTGCACTGAGAAAGTATGTTTTAGGAGTACAGGTGGGTAGATGTTGGTGTTTATTTAGCCTATTGTGTGTCTGCCCCCTAAATAGACTGAGATTAGACATAAAACAGACCTAAATAACCTCCTACTAGGGTGAGAGGGACAGAATCACTATAACTAGAAACTAAGGGGCTGGATTTACCCTTGGGTGTTTATTGTGAGCCCCTATAGATTTTAAGGAGCAGATTCTTGGCAAGTTTATGGGTGGGGGTGGCATTTGAGGCAGGGCAGGGAGTACTGGTCTGTGGAAAAGTTATGGCAGTCTTTCATGTCTTTCGCTTATCTTCCTGAAGGTCGACTTTGAGGTGACAATCCCTGGGGAGGGAAAGGATCGAATTTTTAAAGTCTCCATCAAGTGGCTAGCCATTGTGAGCTGGCGCATGCTGCATGAAGCTCTGGTCAGTGGCCAGATCCCTGTTCCCCTGGAGTCTGTTCAAGCCCTGGATGTGGCCATGAGGCATCTGGCATCCATGAGGTACTGGGTGTAGTTAGTAGTATATGGGCTACTAGTGTTGGCAGAACTGCTGGGTTGGGGGGAATGCACACATTAAGGTCTCATAGTGTGCCATTGCAAAAAAAATGTTTCTGAAGCCCTACCATATGCCAGGCAAGTATGCATATACATTTAGATGATATAAAGCCTGGGCCCTGTCCTTAGATACCTTTTGACCTCGCCCCATCTGTGCCTGCAGGGCAGAGAAAAAGTAGAGACTTGCACAAGGTCAGTCATACAACCAGTAAAGGATCAGAGCTGGCATTAAAGCCCTGGTGTCCTGCCTTCCAGGCCAGGGCTCCTCCGTGCCCAGGATGCCTCACAGGGTGGGGGCCTGTGCCCGAGGGACCAGTTCTCTGCCTGTCCCTGCCAGGTACACCCCTGTGGGCCGCTCCTTCTTCTCACCGCCTGAGGGCTACTACCACCCGCTGGGGGGTGGGCGCGAGGTCTGGTTCGGCTTTCACCAGTCTGTGCGCCCTGCCATGTGGAAGATGATGCTCAACATTGATGGTGAGTGGGGAGAGCCATGGAGTCAGGGGCACCCCAAATCCAGTAGCCACACTCCCAGCCTCGCCCCTCCCAGCTCTGCAACCACACTCCTGGTCTAATTCCTACAGCCCTAGCACCCCCTTGTCTCCCACCCCAGTTCCCTAGAAGAAAGAGGGTATAAATTGCAATGCCTGCATTTATTCTGGAGACAGAACCTGAGCTGAGCTGTTCCCTACCCTGTCCCTACAGTCTCAGCCACTGCCTTCTACAAGGCACAGCCAGTGATTGAGTTCATGTGTGAGGTGCTGGACATCAGGAACATAGACGAGCAGCCCAAGCCTCTCACGGACTCCCAGCGTGTTCGCTTTACCAAGGAGATCAAGGGTGAGGACTGAACCAGGTGGGAACGGGAAACAGTGCTGCTTTCTCTTTAGTCCTAAGAGGAAAATCCCATGGGAAAGGCCAGCCTGGGCACATGAGCAACCATTCCAGCCATGACAAGTAGTGTGTGTATCTCAGGCCTGAAGGTGGAAGTGACCCACTGTGGACAGATGAAGAGGAAATACCGCGTGTGTAATGTTACCCGACGCCCTGCTAGCCATCAGACGTAAGTTGGCAGGGTTGCTGAGCCATACTCCGTTAGTGGAAGTGGGCTGAGATTTCAAACACTTCCTCGACCCCTTTCTCCCACTGACCCTGAGAGCGAACCTTGGGCTGACCTTGATTTTAAAGATTTTTTTTTTTTTTCTGGTACCAGGAATCAAACTTACAACCTCGCGCTTGCCAGGCAGGCGCTGTGCCGCTGAGCTAAATCCCCAGCCCCTGATTTTAAAGATTAACTGTGGGAATTTGGCATCTCTCCCCGCAACCTTCCCATATCCATTGATCTTGTCTGTAGTTTTACCTTGTTGATGATCTTTCCTCCTTGGGCCTTTACTGTACAACAAGCATGTTCCACTGATCTTTGTTAGAGTTCTGTAAACAGTAGAACCTTTGAATCTTTTCTTCCTCCTAAAAAAAAAGTCAGCTTCCTGGGCTTAATCGTGGGAAAACCATCACTAATTTCATCTTCCTTCTTAGCTGTGGGCTATGGTAGGCTGTGAATACCTATCCTTTGTTAGGCTTTATGCTTAACAGTAGAAATGGATGAGTCTGATACTGTCCTAACTGTGGTGGGCCTTGCCAGTCAAATCTTCAGCTGCTTCCTGGGTTGTCTGCTTTCCCATGAGTGGCAGTGGGCAAAGAGGTTGGGTAGGATAAAACAGAAGTCTGAAGCCTTCCATGGTTTTGGGACTGCAGAGGTAGGATTGAATGCTAGGTAAGACATCTTCCTTTTCTCTAAACAGGTTTCCCTTACAGCTGGAGAGTGGACAGACTGTGGAGTGCACGGTGGCACAATATTTCAAGCAGAAATACAACCTTCAGCTCAAGTATCCTCACCTTCCCTGCCTGCAAGTTGGCCAGGAACAAAAGCATACCTACCTGCCTCTAGAGGTGAGGCTGCTAAGTATGGCTGAGCTAGGAAACAGGCATTGTACAAGGCCACTGATCATCTGAGGTCTGTTGATTCATTTGTAGTCTCTCATTCTCATTTTGAGATTTGGAAAATTGACATTCTGAGGTCTGAGGTAGTTCTCCTGTGAACTACAGGGTTCACTCTTAAGTGCTGAATTCTTTTATCTCCAGTCCTATTTTTATGTTCTTCATGGCTGTTAGGCAGGAGAGTGATATATATTTACTGTATAATAAATAATTAGCTCATTCAGAATAGAGATTTCAAATACTTATACTCATGTTCTCTTAATTTCTTTTTCTGCTATCTGGAATTAAGAATCCTGTTTGACATGGAGATACAAGTGTACCTTATTGTAAAAGAAATGGAGATGAATACTACCTATAATGTAAAGTCTGTTTCCCCAATGATTAATATGTTTTCTTGGAAAAAAAATTTAACCTCAAGATTTGTCATACTTCTGTACTTCAGTAGTATGGCTTTGAAATCCTGCAATTAAAGAACAGATAGTAATACTAGGATACATATACAGAATCCCTGGGTTGTATTTGATTTGGCATATGCTAGGCAAAATATCTAATGAAAAACTTACACTGACGGCTTCATTGTCTATCCAGTGTTGCTCAGAAAGTGTGGTTAGCATACCAACAGGATATGCATCACCTGGGAACTTGTTTAAAAAGCTGCATCTCTACCCCTACCTACTGAGTCAGACTTTTGTCTTTTAACAAGACCCAAAGGGGATTCATACATTGAAGTTGGAGAAGTGCTAACTTAGACTTCCCTCTTTATCCAGCAGAGTCACATAGATGAAAACAATGCTCAAACCTGCTATGAGCTTCTAAGATTCCAGAACTAAACCAAAGAAATAAGGCTGAAGGGAGAAGAGATCCCCAAAACTAAAAATTGTGACTTGGTTAATAGCTGCTAATGCACACAAAGTAGGATGAAGGCAATATGTTCTTTAAGGTATAAACAGGTCTTCAGGGACAATCCTAGCTAAGCTGGTATGTTCTACAAGCTGAGATTTACCATCAAATTAACATTATTTCTGTTTAAACATTAGTTTTCAAGATGAATAATTTATGTAATGACATATCTTTTTTTTTTTTTTTAACTATTTAACACATATTTATTAAGCTCCTACTCTTTTAGATACTAGGAATATAGAGATTAACAAGACAGGGTCCTGTAGGACATACAGCTAGAAGGAGAAGACAGATAATAAACTGATACAAACATAAGATAGTTTCAGATAATAGTAAGTACTGTAAAAATACTAAAACAGGTTAAAGGATAGAAGTAAAGGCTGTAAGGGCTTGGGTACTACTTTGGTTATTGTTGTTAGGGAAAGCCTCTTTTAGGAGACCCAAGGGAAGGGCTTTCCAGGCAGGAGGAAGAGGAAGAGCAAGTAGAAAGCTTCTAAAGCAGGATGGAGTTTGGATCTTTTCCAGGAATAGACAGAAGGCTGCAGTGGTTGGAATGTATCGTGTGGGAAGAAAAGAAGTAGGAGATGGTGCTGAATCGAGGTGTAGGGAATTGTGGCCAGGCGGGATTTTTGTTTGTTTTGTTTTTTTAAGACTAACTCTTCATTAATATAAAATTAACATACTTTAAAAAAATTTGTCCTCTTAAAATATACAATTCAGTGGTCTTTGGGGTATTCACATAGTTAAGCAGCCATCCCCACTATCAAATTCCAGACCATTTTCATCACCCCCAAAAGAAAGCCCATCCTCATTAGTAGTCACTCACCATTCCTTCCTTCCCAAACAGCTGCTGGTAAACACTAATCTGTTTTCTATCTCTGTGAATTTGCCTGTTTTGGGCGTATCATATAAGTAGAGTCATACAATCTGTGCCCTTTTGTGACTGCCTTCTTTCACTTAGTATAATTGTTTTCAAGGTTCATTCATGTTTGTATGTTTTTTTTTCCCCCAAGTTTCACCTATGTTGTTCCATTGCATGGATATACAGTATCACATTTTGTTTTTCCATTCATCCGTTAATGGACATTTGGGTTGGTTCCATTTTTGACTCTTACGAATAATGCTGCTTTGAACATTCATGTACGTATTTTTGTGTGAACACGTGGTTTCATTCTCTTGGCTATATACAAGAGAGAAATCATATATAACTCTGCTTAACATCTTAAGAAGCTGCCAGACTTTCCCAACTAGCTACTGTATACCATTTTACAATCCTGTCACCAATGCATAAGAGTTCCAATTTTTGGTCAGCTGGGATTTTATTCTAATTATAATAGGAACCCATTGAAAGAGTTTAAGTGGAAGAACATAAATTATTTGAATCTTCACATCTAGAAACTAGACAGTGCATCTAATCCAGGTCTGTCTTTTTTAAATAATTATGTAGGACACTGAGAGTGTTAGCAAAATCATTTATTTGCTCATCTTCAAATCACAATTCATTCCTTTTTTTTTTTTGGTATCAGGAATCAAGTTCAGAACTTTGCTTGCCAGGCAGGCAGTGTCACTGAGCTATCTCCAGCCCTATTACATTTCATTCCTAGTTTAAACTTTTTCTTTTTTCTTTTAATGTAATACAAGTAGATATTAATAAAGAAAATATAAAAAACTCTTCTTCCATGCAAAAATAAAAGTTTCATAACAAAATAATTAAAGAAAAACAATAGTTATTCTTTAATTTTATGTATCATGATCTTAAAAGAATGGCCAAAATGTTATTCAGAGTATAAGTCATAGAGAATGGTCTTTTTCATATTGTGGATGAATATATTATATATATAATGTAAAGATTTCCATTTTAGTCGTGAAATGTAAAGTCTTCTGGCATTAAGTACATTTATATTGTTGTACAATTGCTACCACTATCCATCTACAAACATTTTTTATCATTGTAAACTGAAACTGTACTCACTAAATAACAACTCTCTATTGTTAGCCCTGATAACCAATAATCTACTTTCTGTCTCTATGAATCTGACTATTTCTAAGCACTTCATATAAGTGGAATCCTATCTTTGTCTTTGAGATAGGGTTTTAGTAAATTGCCCAAACTGGCCTCTAATTTGTGATCTTCCTGCCTCAACCTCCTGAGTAGATAGGATTACAGATGTGGACCACAGTTCTTTATATTATTTATCCTTTTTTGACTGGTTTATTTCACTTAGCATAATTCCTTCAATGTTTATCCATGTTGTAATATATTAGAACTTCCTCCCTCTTTAGGGCTGAATAATATTCCTTTGTAAGGTATATGCCACATTTTGTCTATTCATTCATTAGCTGTCACTTGAGTTACTTCTTCTTTTGGGGTATGGTGAATAATGCTGCTATGAAGGTATACAAATACCTATTGAAAACCATGGGGGTATAGCTCAGAGTGCTTGCCTAGTATGCACTAGGTTCGATTCCCAGTACCATAAAAAAAAAAATTTTGGTGGTGTGTACCTGCAATCCCAGCACTTGGAAGATTGAGGCAGGAGGCTCCCTGTATGTTCAAATGGCTATATCAGGCTGGGCTATATAGTGAGTTCAAGACCAATCTAAACTACATAGTGATTGCCTCAAAACACCCCCCAAGCTGGGTGTGGTGGTGCACACTTGTAATCTCAGCACTCTGGAGGCTGAGGCAGGAGGATCACCTTGAGTTCAAGGCCAGCCTGGGTTACATAGTGAGTGTAAGGCTAACCTGATTTACATAGCGAGGCCCTGTCTCAAAAAGACAAAACAAAACAAAAAACTAAAAACAAAAAACCATACCCCCAAAAACACTCCTCTCCCAAAGAAACCCAAAATGGAACAATTTACTCAGCCACTATGAGCCTGTTCACAGCCCACTTTTGTCCTGTAGAGTGTATTTCTTTACCACTTTCAGTAGATTGCTTTATGCCTTTACTATATTGAAAAAAAAGAAAACAAAAAACAACACCTCCACCAGCAATAACAACACAAGAAATCTATTCGAGTCCCTGGTTTTACTTATTATGAGTACATACTTTGAAGTAGAATGACAGGTTTGTATGGCATTTCTGTTTATTTTATTTTTTTCTAGGCCTAGGGATTGAATCCAGGGCCTTCACACTGAACTATGTCCTCAGCCCTTTTTTATTTTGGGAGGAGGTCTTGCTAAGTTGTTAGTTGCCCTGACTGGGCTTGAACTTGTAATCCTCCTGCCTCAGAGAGTAACTTTACAAATTACAAAAATTGTGGATGTTCACTAAGTGAATTGGGTATTTGTGTACTCTTTGAAATATGGAATTTAAAAGCAGGTGATGTTAGCTGGTTCTCCCTCCTATTGTTTAGTATGAACTATTGGAATTCGGATGAGAGTCAGAATGTACAGAGTATTAGCTGTATGGGAGCAAGTTATGCATTTCATCATATCTAAAGCTTTACAATAATTTCACAAGACAGCGAGTGCTATTTCCCACATCTGAGAACAAAGAAGCTGAGTTTTATAGTGATTAATAGTCTCAGAGTGGTTAAGTGCTAAGTAATATCACCTAGGTGGAAATCTGGACTTCAAACACAAGTCTTCTGGCCAGGTATGGTGGCGCACGCCTATAATCCCAGCACTTGGGAGGCTGAGGCAGGAGGATCATTACGAGTTCGAGACCAGCCTGGGCTACAAAGTGAGCTCAAGGCCACACTAAACTGCATAGCGAGACCCTGTCTCAAAAAGACCAAAAAAACAAACAAACAAACAAACACAAGTCTCCCAAAACTGACTATCACTGTATTCCACTACAAGCTCTGGGAAGTTGCAGTTTTATGTAACACTAGACATTTCTTTTTGATCTTGTTTTCTGTTGAGCTCAGAACAGATGAATTCAGTGGCAGGATGGTCCTCTTAATAACAGAGGGTGCTGTCAGCTATGACAGTGATTTCTGTAGCCCAAAAGCTGAAGAGTTTAGAGCTTTCCCTGGTCTTCCTGGTAGGCTACAGGGTGGAGAACCCAACTTCCTGCCACCGTGGAGAGCTGCCGAAGTAATCTTGTATTGAGTTTTTCTTCTTCAGAAGAGCTTTATCCTTGACCCCTGAGTAAACTGTCTGTGCAACAATATATTGAGAGTTTGCTGTGTCTCGGAACTGTGGTCAGTTCTTTAAGTGCTTTATTTAATCTCTATACATCTGCAAGATTGTTACTATTTTCCTCATTTAACACATGAGACCTGATTCCAGATCTGGCTCTGGCTCTCAAGCTCTTAATCATAAAAATAGTATTGCCATTTGTTTTGCACATGAATATTTTTTGTTTGTTTGTTTTTGAGACAGGGTCTTTCTGTATAGTCCAGGCTGGCTTTGAACTTGCTACGTAACCCAGGTTGGCCCTGAACTTTTGATCTTCCTACTCAGCCTCCCAATTGCTGGGATTACAGGCATGTACCACTACACCTGGCTACATACAGATACTTTCTGGATTGTGTATCAAGCAAAACTTAAGAGGAGCCTACATTTATGCTCAAGGGATTCTGTAGTCCCCTTCTCTATTGTTGATAGCTAAGGTCTCCTTATAGGACGGACTATGCTCAAGCTAGAGTTACCTGTTTTCTCATTTCCTCAGGTCTGTAATATTGTAGCTGGGCAGCGCTGTATCAAGAAGCTGACTGACAACCAGACTTCAACCATGATAAAGGCTACAGCTAGGTCGGCTCCAGACAGACAGGAGGAGATCAGCCGCCTGGTCAGTGGAGCTGCAGAAGATGCATGTTTATTTACTCAGCCATTAGGGTGCTTAGCATAGATGCTTTAAAGCCCCAGCAAGACCTTCCTTTAGGAGAACTCAAGTCTGGGTTTGTTGCCTGGGACCCATAGGGCTGTTCTTATGTGTTGACCCTTTAGCTACTTTGCTTCTTCTTTTTCTTTGTATATAACTTTCCTGTTGTCTACTCCACTTCCTTCGTATTCTACTTCCCACTCCTTTTAGGGCTATTTTTTTCTTCCACCATCAGCTTCCTTCAGGGCTCTTTCCTTGGGACCTAGAGGTTGAGTAGTATTGCCGTGCCGCTGCCTTCTGAGATCCCCTTCATTTGCCTTGCAGATGAAGAATGCCAGCTACAACCTAGATCCCTACATCCAAGAATTTGGAATCAAAGTGAAGGATGACATGACGGAGGTGACAGGGCGAGTGCTGCCGGCGCCCATCTTGCAGTACGGCGGCCGGGTGAGCAGGGTCAGGGCCAGACAACATCTCTGGGGCAAAAGGGGGTGGCTGGGTTGTATAGCTGGGGGCTTTTTTTGCTTCCTACCTACCTGGCTCTCCTGAGGCTCACCTGGGCGCCCCCTCTGCCTGTCTCCAGAACCGGGCCATTGCCACACCCAACCAAGGGGTCTGGGACATGCGGGGGAAACAGTTCTACAATGGGATTGAGATCAAAGTCTGGGCCATCGCCTGCTTCGCACCGCAAAAGCAGTGTCGAGAAGAGGTGCTCAAGTAAGGAGGATTGGGAGTGAGGGTAGAAGGGTGGGAAGGACCCCAAGGATGCTGCTCACTCCAGCACCCAGGGGTCCAGACTGATCTGCAGTCTGCTCAGTCTTGACTCCAGTGGCCTTGCCTTTTTATTTTTTTTAATAGTATGGGAGATCAGACCTAGGACCTCACGTATGCTAGGCAAGCACTTTAACCCTCTACCATTGAGCTTTGTCATTTCTGGCTTAGCCATCTATCTGTTCCTCTTTTGTCCATCTGTGGTCAGGAGACTTTAATAAATAAAGAGCCACTGTCAGGGATGATGATTTTGGGGCATAGATCTCCTAAGGGAGGCATGAATTATTGTTACAATTGTTGTCATTGGTAATAAATAGTAACAAGTGAAGACTGTAATGTTTCTGCCAGCTTTGTACTTACCTAAGTTTTATTCTCTTGTCAGAGAGTAGGTGATACTTTCATTTTCAGCAGACTGTGGCTCAGAAAGTTCACAAGTTTGACCATCAAAAAGTGCCAGAGTTGGGATCAAATCAGATCTAAGCTTCCAAATTTGTATTCCCCATGGGAAACAAAAAAGAGCAAATTCTTATCACCTGCTAGATCTAGGTGATAAGAATACAGCTTATCCATGTGGGTCAGTGGTACCCAGTTAGATAGGTGTTTCTAGGCTAAAGATAAAGATTTCTGAGTCTTCAGCAATAGCAGTGGATACGATTGTCTAGGAAAAATGTGTATAGTAAGTAGAACTAAAAATAGAACTCAGAGAAACTGGAAAATAACCCTAGTAAAGTTTCTAAGCGTGGAAGGTAGGATACAGAGCACAGAGTATGGTGTCCTTTTCACTGAGAAGTGGGCTCATGAAGGTTGTGGAATTGGAGAGACTGGCTTTTGGAGATGGATTATGAAGTTCTTTGAACTGTTGGAATTTTTCTTCTGGTTAAAGAGGTTCCATTACTCAGACATACTATTGTTGAGGACAAGATTTCTTTTTAGGTCAAGATTTCAAGACCATTCCCATCCCAGAAAACTCTCAACAGTTTTTGGTTTCCAACACTGGACACAGTATCCAAGTGTGGTTTAGTAGTAAAGAGAAGATTGGGAATATCCCTTCCCTTGGAGTAGAGACCTATTATTAATGAAATCTGTTAACATAAAGTCTAGTAACACACTGGCATTTTGGTAGCTACACTGTATTGTGTATAAGGCAGAGAAATCAAAGGAATACTGTTACTAGTCCATGAAAGCCCTACCTCACATTTACATGAGAATGTGATTAAATTGTATTTTTTTATTCTAACATTTATTTTGAAAAAGAAATTTAACATCATAAATGCAGTAATATAGCAGATACCTGTATCTGTCAGCCAGAGTTTGTTATATTTATCATTTTTAAAAAAAGAAATATTTTTTTAAAATTAACATTTTCCCTTTAATTTGTCTTTTTGGTTTTGTTTTTTTGAGATGGTCTGGCTATATAGTTTAGGCTGGCCTTGAACTCACTGTGTAGCCCAGGCTGTCCTTGAATTTGTGGCAGGCCCCCTACCCCACCTTCCTGAGTGCTAGGATTACAGGACTGCACCACCATGCCAGCCCAGTCAGTTTATTTATGTAGCTTGATTTTTTAAACTCCGCTCTGTATGTACCTTTTCTACCAACTTTGTCTTCCTTCCCCAGGGTAAAGTCCTAAAGCCAAAGAAAGGAAAGAAGCTTGTTTTATAGTTGGCTCTTAGGCTCAAAGAACCAGGAGGGAAGGACAGAGCTCATTTTTATTGAGTCTCTCCTGTACTCCTATCGCTATTGGAACCTCATTTATTTTGAACAAAAAGACCTTATATTTAATTGTCTGCTTGTTTTTTTGGACAGTGGAGCACAAGCTGCTTGAATGGGACAGTGTGAGAAAGCCCTGAGAATACTGACAGGTCTCTTTTTTGACTTCCCTCAGCTCCCTCAGTCTTCTTTTGAACAAGTAGCAAACCTTGTTTTGTTTTACTGAACTGGGATGGAATCCAGGCCATTTGTACATACTGGACAAGCCCTCTGCCACTGAGCTACACCCCCAGCCCTTTTTTGTTCTTTATGTTTTAAATTTTGAGACAGAGTCTTACTGAGTTCCCCCGGCTGTCCTCAAATTTATGCTATTTGTGCCTCAACCTCCTGAGTGGCTGGGTTTACAGGTGTTTACCACCACACCTGGCTTATACTTTTTTTGCATTAGCTGTGATCATGTCTCATTCATATTAGAATCTTTTGTGCCTCTCATTGTGCTGAGCACCTAAGATTAAGGCATTCAGTCAGAGGTATCAAGGGGATCAAGAAATGAAGGGAGTGGGGGAAGGAAGGGATAGTAAATTTTAAAAATTAATAAAAAATAAAGCGGGACTTACTGCTTTCTGTCATGACCATGCTTGTGCTACAGGAACTTCACAGACCAGCTGCGGAAGATTTCCAAGGACGCAGGGATGCCCATCCAGGGTCAGCCTTGTTTCTGCAAATATGCACAGGGAGCAGACAGTGTGGAGCCCATGTTCCGGCATCTCAAGAATACCTACTCAGGGCTGCAGCTCATTATCGTCATCCTGCCAGGGAAGACACCAGTGTATGGTACAGTTCTCCTGGGACATTGATGATGATAGGACTCTTCTCAGGGTAGCCTCCAGGGGGCTTTTAGGGAATAATCAATGGAAATTTTTAGCTTGGCCAGAGGTAATCTTTAATGTCTGTGCTCCTTTTATTGAAGAAATATCAGCCTGTGTGAGCCATTGAGTCATCCCAGATTTTACTTCCTGCTCACACTTCTTTAGTAATATTCTCTGTTGGTCCCTGTGCCAGCCTCAGGTGGCCAGATATAAAGAAAGGTCAGTCTAGGTTCCCGTCCTTAATAGTGTGTTGTTTATTGGGACATCGTGCAGCCCATGTGGAATGTGCTTTGGCTCTGCTAGTGTTCTGCTATCTGGTAATGACTTGGAGTTTTTAAAGGGTTTCTCTTCTCTTTTTAAAATAGGAATGACTACATATGTCTCTGGCGCAGCACTTCTATCATAGTCCATTTTCTCTGTCCTTTGCTTCAATGGAAGTGGTGTGCCTCTTACCTTGTTCAACTCCTCTGTGCTGTTGTTTTCATCCAGTCCTACTGTTTGTAACTTTCAACCTTCAAACATCAGGTCCCCCTTCCTAGAGCATATTACTACAATTTTTCTATCTCTTTCACCTTTTTTCTTCCTGTTTTTCCTCAAACTTTCTGAATAATTTCTCTGTTCTCACCTCCTTACCTGCCATTTACTCTTTAGCTTCGCTTCACCTTTTTCTTCAATCTCTTCTGTGAAGGGTCACCCCTTACCTTTTCCAATTCTTTTCTTTACTTGACTTCTGGATATTTTCTCTTTAGTTTTGTTAATACTAAGAATGCCTGGTGTTCTCCAGGTTTCTGTCCTCTGCCTTCTCTGTCTTTACATTCTGTGAATAATTCTCATTCATTCCATTTGATTTGTTCATCATCTAATGTCATAAATTATAGTACTAAATTTTTAATCCAGCCGTTCAATATTCCTATCTGTAGCTCCTGTCTGTCTCTTTGGCTTCCCTATCTTTGTTCTGTAAGTTTAGTGGTCATCTATTCTAATCCTTCTTGTCAAAGAGACTTTTTATGACCGTATTACCAAAGCAAACCTTGTTTGGTACTTACTACTACATAAAGGGTTTTCAGGGCCCTGATTGTAGTTTAACCATTTCAATTTTATCTTGCACTGTTCCCTTGCCACATGTAGTAGAAAGATGACTGGTTCTGGAATTAGAACTGAATCTCAGTCCTGGCTATACCAGTCAACTGACCTCATGGATTATTTATATGAAAAGTAGCATCTGACACGTAGTAGACACTGCAAATGCTCATTCTTTATCTGTTCTTTCCACTCTCTGGTTTTGCTCACATCATCTTGCCCTTGTCTAGAATATCTGAATACTCTCCTTGTCCCGCTACCTTACTCTTAAAATTCCATACGTCCTTCAAGACCCAGTTAAATGCTACTTAGTCCCTATTTTTGTCATAACTTAGAGAGTAAGCTTGTTTCATTTCTAGATTTCTCTAGTTTATCAGGCTCCTGATTACTTACCACCTTGTTTGATTTTATTTTGGGCATGGAGTAGATATGACTCTGCTCTGAAACCTTCTTTAGGTGTACACTAAGATAGAATCTTCTGCTCTTACGATACTCTATAATTCCTTATGGAAGGAGGTTAGTTGATCTCCAGTTCATGTCTCTCTTGGGCCTTAAATTGTTGGCAGTTAGATGAAAGGTAAGAATGCTTTCTGGGAGAATTACCTTGAATAAGTATCCATGTTTCTTGTTTCCTACATTACTGGACAATCCAGTGTTTTGGAAGCTTCAGGAATGTAGTGCAGCATACTAGGGAAGGCAGCATTTGCTCAGATTTCCCCTTGTCTGGGCTCCGTAATGGTATATTTCTCTCCAGCCTCAGACCTTTATTAGGACATTAGATTCCTCACATTTATTTGAATTTTTTGGTTGTATCACCAGGTCAGTGGGGTCATCTGCCTAAGAATTAAGCTAGCAGATAAGAGAGGTAGTCAGATTCTTGTAATGGCTTCACCTTCCTTCATGGAAGCTGGGGGAAATGCCCTTGATGGTCAAATCTAGATTCTGTTGGTATTGTGATTGTCTTGAGAGTGGAGAACAGTGTCACATTTACTGAGTTCTCATTTGGGACCATATGTATCCTGTTGTTAGTATATTTAAGTCTTTTCTCTCCACTAAGTTGCTACTATTGATTTTTTTTTTTTAATGTAAACTTCTTACTAAATTATAATACGCATATAGAAATCTTGGGCTGAACATGGTGGTCCATGTCTGTAATCTCAGCACTTGGGATGCTGAGGCAAGAGGATCACCATGAGTTTGAGGTCAGCCTGGGCTCCATAGTGTGTTCACGGCCAGCCTGTGCTACATAGTAAAATCCTGTCTCAAAAAAAAAAAAAGAAAAGAAATCTTAAGTGTTTAGCTCCATGAATTTTGACCAAGTGTCTCAACAATATAACTAGTACCCAGGAGAACATTACTAATGTTCAAGATACCAATTGTTATAATATCCCCTCCTCACTACTACCACCAGTGGTAACCACTGTTCTGGTCTTAACCCCATAGATTAGTTTTGCCTGTTTTTGTGCTCTACATAAACAGAATTGTACTGTATGCAATTTTTTGTGTATCTTGCTTCTTTCATTGAACGTTAAGTTTGTGAGTTTCATCCAAATTGTGTCTAGTAGTAGTTTGTTACAGATTTTCTATCATATGAATGTAACATTCTTTATATATGTACCCATTCTACTATTAATGTACATATTTGGATTATTTACAGTTTTTGATTATTATAAATTAATGCTGTACACATCCTGTAAACTTAGGTGCTTATTTCTGTTGAGTGTATATCTAAGAGTGAATTTTTCAGTGTACCAGTTTCTACTTCTACCAGCACGGTTTGACAGTTTTAGATGTTTCATGTCTTTACCAAACTTGATATACTGTCTTTTACATTTTAGCCACTCTTATGTATTTTTATTATTTGTTTATTTTTTCTTTTTGGGAGGAGGGGGTTGTTTGAGACAGGGTCTCACCCTGTAATTCAGGCTGCCCTTGAACTCACTATGTAGGCCAAGCTGGCCTCAAACTTGTGGCAATTCTTTTGCCTCAGCCTCCCAGAAAGGTGGAATTATAGACATGTGCCACTACACTGCACTGGCTTCTGTAGCTTCTTTTCTAAAGTGCCTGCACTAGTCCTTTACCTTTTATTGATTTAGCAGCTGTTTGATTTATAGGTATTCTTTTCAATTCCTTTGTTAAAGATGTACTTGTATTACATATCTCTTTGCTCAATGACTTGCCTTTTTACTGTCTTCATGGTATCTTTTGTTGAACAGAACTTTTTTTAACTTTAATGTAGTCTAATTAATATTTTGACTAGTGCTTTCCATGTGTCCTGATTAAATCCCAAGGTTATGAAGATATTATTTTTTAATTTGCTTTTTAATGATTATTTTTACCTTTCACATTTAGAACTGATACTTTTCTTTTTGACTTTTGTCTTTTTGAGACAAGGTTTTGTTATGCAGTTCAAGCAGGCCTTGAATTCACTTTGTAGGCCAGGCTAGCCTCAATCTCACAACAATCCTCCTGCCTCAGCCTCCTGAGTGCTGGGATTACAGGCATGTGCCATCATGCCCGGCAGAACTGAGATATCTTTAAAAAGTGCAAAAATTGTGTTGCTTTCCTGTCCCTCAGCAGTGGTTCCTCTACTTTTGCAGTGCTTGGAATCTCAGCCTCCTGCTCACACCTAGAACCAGCACAGGTATCCAGGGTAAAAAGAGCCACAGAAGATAGTTCACCTTTTTAAAATGTTCTTCCTCTCTAAAGTTTTACCCCTAGTTCTTGTCTCAGTATACTCTGCTGACTTCAAAAAGATGACTTCGGTATTTTACCTGACTTGCTTGAATGTTTTCTGCTGAAGAACAGATTTGCTCTTAAAAGTAGAAATGATTCATTTAGCTTTTAAATATTTTCAAGTGTCTCCCGTCAAAAACATAGCAAACCCATTCTTGATCATACATCTCCTACTTAGTATATCAATAAAATAATTTTTGCCTCCATAAATTAACTTGTTGCTTTGATTTTACTAAATCCAAAGGATAATTCTCATTTTATGTGATCTCTTAGCTGCATTTGTCTTTGATTACTTTCTCCTTTTTGAAACACTCTCTTCCCTTGACATTTATCATATAATATTGTCATAGTCTTCCTTAAAGCTCTGTGGATTTTTCCCGTTTGCAGATTCATCTACTCCTTTTTTTCTTTATAAATGCTGCAAGTTCCTAAAGATTTGGAGCTGAGCCCTCTTCTCTTTTCATTCTACCTTCCCTAGTGACCTTACCAAGATTAGGGCTTTCAGTTACTACCTGTATTTAAATATTACACAAATGTGTATCTCTGTTTCTTTTGACCTTTCACCCACTTGGTAACCATTTACTTAGTTGATATCTTAGATGACAAGAAAAGCATTGCAGACTGCAAATGTCTCAAAAACAATTTATGATCGATTCCTGTTTTTAAAACTAAAAATTTAAAAGTCATTCATCAAATCTATTTTTGTTGGGGGTGGGGGCGTGCTGGGAATTGAATCCAGGACCTTGTGCAAACTAACCACATGCTGTGCCTTGGAGCTAAAGTGTAAGCCTCTCAATTACCTTCTTAACGTGGACCACCCTCATCTCTTCCATAGATTGGCATAAGGACCACTTTCCCCCTCTTACAGCATGGTCCTCTTGCTCTCCTTTTAAGATAATACAATCTTTCCAGTTGTTTAAATATATCTTACTCTCTCCTGGGAGAATGCATTTTTGCATGCTACTTCCTCTGTCTGAAATGTTCTCTCTCAAACCTTTCTGTTCTTCTAAGTCCTTTGCTACCTCTAGTTTTATCATTACTTACTCAGGAATATTTTCCTGATTAAGTTATTGCTTCCTATTATATGCTCTCATAACCATAAAATTTTCTGTTATAGCATTTATCAATGTAATTTTCATTATTTTAAGAAATTGCTAGATAGTAAGCACTAGCAGAGTAGTGACCCTGTGCATTTCTGGTCACCATTGTGTTCCCTGGCACTTCATATACTGCTTACATCTGGTAGGCATTCAGTAAGTATTTGTTGAGTACACTAATTACTTCTCTCCCTTTCCATAGCTGAAGTGAAGCGTGTTGGAGATACACTTTTGGGGATGGCAACACAGTGTGTGCAGGTGAAGAATGTGGTGAAGACCTCGCCTCAGACTCTGTCCAACCTCTGCCTCAAGATCAATGTCAAACTTGGTGGCATTAACAACATCCTAGTCCCACACCAGCGGTATGAACTCTGTTAACCACTTACTCTTGTCAAGATACCTTATTGGGGATTGATGAAGAGACAGGACCCTGGCCAAGCAGAGTGAATCAAACATAAGAGAGAGGAGACCAGAGTGGGTGCTGGATAGTGCCAGGCAGAAATGACCTAATTCCTCATCATTTTGTTTTTTCTTCCTTGCCCAGCTCTGCTGTCTTTCAACAGCCAGTGATATTCCTGGGAGCAGATGTTACACATCCCCCAGCAGGGGACGGGAAAAAACCTTCTATCACAGCAGTGAGTAATACTCTCCATCTTTCTTGTAAGATTCTCCTCTTAACTGAATCCTTAAGAATACTCATGATTTTCTTCCCTCAGCCCTAGCTCTTAACCCTTCACAAGATCTTCTGTATATTTTTTGGGCGAAGAATAGTGAAAATATGGCTGGTGGCCAGAAATATGGCCCAATGTCCTATCATTGTTCTACATTCAGAATTTTCTCTTTGCACACCAGCTTGTTGAACGTAGGGAAGTGAGTCTATCTTTTTCTGAGATCCCTTTGTAAAAGAAAGTTAGAGGCCGAGCATGGTGATGCATGCCTATAATCTCCGTACTCGGGAGGCTGAGACAAGAGAATCACTGTGAGTTTGAGGCCAGCCTGGGCTACATAGTAAGTTCAAGGCCAGCCTGAACTGCGTAGTGAGACCCTATCTCAAAAAATAAAAAAAAAAAGAGTGTCAGTTGCTGGAAATGTCCTTCCCTCTGCTCCTGTTAACCTTCCATCCATTTAGTAGATTACATGTCTCTCTATTTCCTCTCCTGACTTTCCTGCTCCCTGTCTGTGAAGGGCTTCCAGTTGCTAGGGATCAAGTTTTCCTTCTAGTTCTTCAGCCTTTGCATTTCTTTAGGCACACTGGTCTCTTACTGCTAAATGTAGGCAAACCTTCTAATACACTTACCCTGGTTTTCCTTGTGACCATCCTTCCTAGGCTGTGCTATTGTCCCCTTTGAAGGTGACATTACTCCCATCAGTTATGAGAACATTAGCACCATGGTTATGCTTCTTGGGTAGATTAGCACTTGAATGGAAGAAAAGATAAACCTGGCCTGCTGAGATAAGGTTGTTGTTTGATTTTGAAGTATCAGATCTTCACATTCCCCTCTGCACAGGGCTAGAGCTAAGCCTTGTGCAAAGTTCTCAGTATCTATAGCCATAGTACTAGGAACAGGTATTCTTATCAGATGGATTAAAATTCTGCGTGCATGCTAGAACAGTTTGAAACCAGGGCTCATTGAATCCCACACAGGCCCTGTTCATTCCATAGCAGTTCTCTTGCTAAGAGGCTTCCCCTCAAGCCCCCAGTCTGACAGCGAGGGAGAGTAATACCCTGAAGGTTGATCCTTTCTCTTTGATTGCTAGGTAGTAGGCAGTATGGATGCCCACCCCAGCCGATACTGTGCTACTGTGCGGGTGCAGCGACCACGGCAGGAGATCATTGAAGACTTGTCCTACATGGTGCGTGAGCTGCTCATCCAGTTCTACAAATCCACCCGGTTCAAGCCTACCCGCATCATCTTTTATCGAGATGGGGTCCCTGAAGGCCAGCTCCCCCAGGTAGGGCCCACAGTAGGTGGAGAAAATCTTCATGTTGAGGCCAGAGGGCTAGGCATGGCTTCCTTTTCTAAACTGTTAGCACTAGGAGGTGTGGTAGACTTGGGAATGGGATCACAATTGATGGGTGGAGTTTCTAAGGATCTATAGACCTTCTTGTAGTAGAAAGCCCTCAGTGCCTATTTACTGGTTGATTGGTGTTGAAGACTATTTAGGCAAGTGGGTCTCTTGTTTTTCCCTACTGCCCCCAAGATCAGTGGTTCTCAAATGTTAGCATACATTGCTATCGTGGTGGCGGCAGGTGGGATGGGGTGCGGTATTAACACAGCTTGTGGGCTTCTTCCCTTAGAGTTTCTGTCTTAATGCATCTAGGGTATGGCCTTCAAATTCACAGTTCTGACAAGTTTAGATGATGTTGCTGGCCCAGAAACAGCTTGAGAACCAGTGCTGTGGACCTTCCTTTATAATGTTCCTCCTGTTTATTCTCACTGCTGAGCCTTCATACTCTGTTTAGTATAGAATACTAAACTCAGTTCTTGAACCTTGTTTTCATCTTTTATCATTTTGGTGCTGAGGATTGAACCTAAGCCCTTACAGGTTAGGCAGGCATTCTACCACCGAGCTATATACCCAGCCCTTGACAACTATTTAGTAGTATGAGAACTGTTTTTTGAGCACCTATGTCATATGTGCTATGAATTGTGCTAAGCACATTATGTATGTCCTACTTATAATCACTCTATGAAATAATAATGTTTTAAATTCTCATTTGTAAGATGAGAAAACAGGTTTAAAATGTTTTTAGAAATGCTAAATAATTCTCCATTGTTACTTAAGCTAATAAGTGGTAGAAATGGAATTCAGATACATCGGTTTCACTCCAGAATCTATACCCTTACCCAGTCTGTCCAAGTCATCCAGTGTTTCCTAATATAGCAGACAAATTTACCGTATCATTTCTTTGTTTAGATATGTCTAGTGACTTCACATAGCCTTGGATTAAGATACAACTGCTTAGCAAAAGAAGAAATAAATAAAGGCAGTTATTAAGCCCTACTGTGTTTTCTTATGCCTGAATTATCTTTGTATCTATCTTTGTCTTCACAATGGCTTTGTGAGGCAATTCTTATTACATTAATAGATGTGGAGAAAATGAGACAATTGTAAAAAACATGGATTTAAAGCTTGTTCCGGTTGATTCCGAAGTCCATCATTTTCTGCCATACATTCTTTTTTGGAGGTGGGGCTGCTACTGCTACTGAGGATTGAATTGTAGGCCTCGTGCATACTAAGCACACACTCTCCTGAGTTACATTCCCAGTCCCTATCATACAGTTTTGTTTCTTTTTTTGTTTTTTTTTTGGTACCAGGAATCAAACTCACGAACTCAGGACCTTGCACTTGCCAGGCAGGTGCTTATGCCACTGAGCTATATCCCTGGCCCTTCTACCATACACTTTTGGTTTCCTATGTCTATATCCATGGCCACAGGCAAATATTGCCTGTGATTATTGGCCAGTAGGGGCTTCTTTAGTCTATTTTACTATAATTCTATTTCTTTATAGGATTGTATTCATCTACTCTTTCTCTACCCATTCAGTAATTACATATTTACTTTTGTGGAGCTCACAGGCAAATTCCCATATCTTCTTGATCCTGGAATTAACTTAACTTTGGACATTGTGATTTTAGTGATTATTTGTGAACTTTGGTTTTGAGCCCTAATGTTAGATCTCTTTATGCCTGGAAACCAGGTGGGTACTCTATTCTGATGCCAAGCCCTTCAGTTAAGGTGTTATGGGAACATACGAAAAATCTGAATATAAGGGCAATTTTGACAGGAACAGCCTATCATCTGATTATTGGGCATCAGTTTATAAAGGGAGGCTGAGCAAAAACCGTATTGCAAGTTACATTCTTTAAGTTGAGACAGGCACATAAACTCAAGAGGAGCTCTGTTTTTGTCTCCCTTCTCACTCTGTGTCTAGATCCTCCACTATGAGCTGCTGGCCATTCGTGATGCCTGCATCAAACTGGAAAAGGACTACCAGCCTGGGATCACTTACATTGTGGTGCAGAAACGCCATCACACCCGCCTTTTTTGTGCTGACAAGAATGAGCGAGTGAGTGAGAGATTGAGAAGGCCACCAATACCCTCATTCTGCATCCCTCGTCTTGATAAGAAGCCTTTGAGATAAAGTCTGGGTTTTTAGTGCTTGTCCTGTGTATCCTCCCTGGCTTCTTCCTTGCCCATGGCTCTTGTGGTCTATCCTCTACCACCTCCATCCCTTAGTGTCCCCCTTCTCCCCTCCTTCCCTTATACTTCCTCTCCCTCCTCCTAGCTCCTTGGCCTAGACCCTATATATAGACCAGCTCTCAGAGAAGGGAAAGGGAACTACCATTTTTTGAACTTCTCCTATGTGCCAGACACTGTACAAGGCGTCTTCCTCACAGCAACCCTGTGAGGTAGGTACTGTTATTATCTCAAGTTTAACCTCCAAAAGGTTAAGTGATTTGCTGTCACACAGTTAATAAATGGCAAAACCAGGACTTAAACACAGGTCTGTTTGACTTGAGAAGCCCATTATTTCAAGACTTAGTGCCCTCTAGGAATGACATTTTCTGTCTTTGTTCTACGGATTCTGGTAGAGTCAGATTAGAATTCAGCTGTGGCCCTACTTAGGGCCACGCAGGTCTTGGGATCTTGGTTGTGTTTGTCTCTACACAGATTGGGAAGAGTGGTAACATCCCTGCTGGGACCACTGTGGACACCAACATCACCCACCCTTTTGAGTTTGACTTCTATCTGTGCAGCCACGCAGGCATTCAGGTAGCTGGGCTATGTACTGGGGCTTCCACTGGATTAAAGATTATTAGTTGGTATCCCACTCGCTCTGGAGTTATGTCAGTCATCACTGAGTAGTATTCAAATCAGACTTGCTCTCTTAGTGAGCCCTAAGTGTACTTGCAGGTTGCGCTTAAGAGTATTTGCTGACATTGGTGAGTTTCTGTGTGCCTGTTCGTGGGTGGGTCGTCCAGCTTAGCCATATGCTTCATAGCCTGTTCCTGATCACCAGCCATCCCCCTCTGCCCAGCATAGGGCCCCTCACCTTTCTATCTTCCCAGGGCACCAGCCGACCATCCCATTACTATGTTCTTTGGGATGACAACCGTTTCACAGCGGATGAGCTCCAGATCTTGACATACCAGCTGTGCCACACTTATGTACGATGCACACGTTCCGTCTCTATCCCAGCACCAGCCTACTATGCCCGCCTGGTGGCTTTCCGGGCACGATACCACCTGGTGGACAAGGAGCATGACAGGTGAGGCCTAGGGTCAAGTGAACTTTCTTTCTACTTTAGCCTTTTATACTATGTGCTCTTAACTTTCCTCAGGGAGAAGGATGTGAGTACTCTACAATTTGGTGTCTTTGGGCTCATCTCCCCAAATTGAGGGTTTTCTCTTAAGTTGGTGTGGGAATTGACACCCTGGGGAGGGTGAGGGAATTAGCAGCAGCTCAGTTCACCAGGAAGGACATCTTTTATTTTTTTCCTTTTCAGTGGAGAGGGGAGCCACATATCGGGGCAGAGCAATGGGCGGGACCCCCAGGCCCTGGCCAAAGCCGTGCAGGTTCACCAGGACACTCTGCGCACCATGTACTTCGCTTGAAGGCAGAACGCTGTTACCTCACTGGATAGAAGAAAGCTTTCCAAGCCCCAGGAGCTGTGCTGCCCAAATCCAGAGGAAGCAAGGAGGGAGGTGGGGTAGGGAGGAGTACAGGAGGCCTTGTTTCTCTCTATAGCAGGGGTATAAGGATGGGGAACAGGGCCAGCAAGACAGACCACCAGCCAGAAATCTCTGCTGTCAACCTCATGCCCCCATCCTTCACCCCATCTTGTCACATCTGGCCCTGACTCCACTGGACCAAGAGGGGTAGCACTGATGCCCACCATACACACAGGTGTCTCATGTGACTCTCAGTGCTAAAACTCATGCTTGACAGCTTGGTAAGGTTGGCTCTGTAGCCCTGCGGACAAGTGCTGGTAGGTTTGGGTTTGATATTTTAGATGGGAAAGCGAGGGGCTTGAGAAACTGGGTGAGATGAGGGAAGGATTTTTTAGGAGCCTTAAATCAGAAATGGTCTAGATTTGTTTAAGAAGAAAAATGAAACCAGACCCAGATCAATATTTTAGGATACTAAACGTTTTCATGGGTTCAGAATCCAGTTTGTAGGAAGATTTTTAATGGTTTTGGTTGCTCCTCCCCCAGCTCCCCCCCTCATTCCACTCTCCCACATCTTCTACCCCACCTTACACTTCCTCCCTGACAGACATCCAGCCCCCCTCGTAACACTTAAGGCACTATGGCACTTAGCTCAGAAGTGACACGACCCTGTCTTCCTTCCGCCTGCTGGTGGGTAACCAGTGCCTTCCCTGTAACGGTAATGCTGCAGAACTGCAACCTTTTGTACCTTTCTCTGGGGGTTGGGGTGGGGTGGGAGAGGAGGTAAGTGGCGAAGAAATATCCCAAACCCAGTGAGCCTCCAGCCAGAATGCCAGGTATTTCGCATTTGAAGGAATTGACTTCCACATTCTTTGAGCTTTTAAAAAGATCACAACCTCAAGATGGTTAAAATCCATTGACATTTGCACTTTCAGACACGACAAGTCTCTGAGCTGCTGAGATGACCGGCCCCTAGCCTTTCCACTTCTGCCTCCTTTTCACCCTGTCCCCACGCCTCCCATCTTAGCGGGTCTAGCATTTCTCACATTGCTTCTTTTTCCCCTGATGCTCAACTCTCTTGTGTTTCATTTATTTCTTAACCGGGGTGTCTTATAACAAAAGATCCTTAGATCTAAAAGAAGAAAAAAAAAAAAAAAAACCCTAAATGTTATTTTTATACCATAACTTGAGTCTATTGCCAAAATCTGGAAATCCCTCCCATGCCTGATGAGTTTACATCCTGGAAACATTGAGCCATCTGAAGGAACTATGTACCTGACTTGTTCTCTGGCCTGGCTAGGAAAGGGGTGGTTGTCCCCCCAAGTCGGGGCTCAGGCTCTGTCCTTCCTCTGTGCAGATACCTTTTCTTGCTGCAGGCTCCCTCCTCTGCACTGTCCTGCGCTCTTCCCTGCAAGCGCGTCCTCCCCTCCCCTGGACTGGACTGTTCTTTGACCTCCGATTCATCCCGTATTCTAGCGTGTCCTGTGGGCAGGCTGGGGAATTTTGCTGCTCCTAGTTGCTTCTGTTTACACAAATGAATTTTTCCTGGTTCCCACTAGGGCATGTGAGTGGGTGGCATGGGTTTTGTTTGTTTTTCTTTCTTTCCCCTTGAGATATGGTGTTTGGCTATCTTGGAGGACTAGAGATCAAAGAGGCTTCTAGCTTGGTCCTTGCTGGCCTTGAGACAAACCTTCCTCTTTCCTTGACTGTTCCTCCTTGCTCTTCAGTGGGGAGTTTCAACTTCAGTGTGGAAATTCCTCTTTTTGAGGTGCATGGGCTTGGGTTTGCCCCACTCTGGTAATGAAGCCATGATATTTTAGACTAACCCAGGGCTGGAGACCAGCTGGAAGAAGGAGAATCTGAAGCCAGGCCTGTGGAGGTAGAGGTACCCTTTCCTCTCCCCAGCAGCCCTTGTATAGGCCCAGATTTGCTATGCAAAACAATCTATTCCAGGTTCTGTTCTGGTTGGCTACATCGTTCCGCAATTTTAGAAAGTAGCACAAACATTCATTATGGAGAAAGCAACAGGCCTGTTGAGTAATTCCTCCTCTGCTTTTTTTTTTCCTGCTGGTATAGCATGGGGTGCCCCTTGGGCACAAGCCCAGCTGAGGAGCAGAATGGAGGGCCCCAGGAGGAGGCAGCTCACTGGAGAGCTTACATTCCTTACACAAGTGCCTAAAAGAGAGTGATGCCAACACTCCATCTGCCCCTGTCCATCGCCTTCATATACAGTCTACTTCATGTTCCGTTACCCTTAGGGGAAGGAGCTGTCCTAGGACAATGGGCTCTGCATGTTCTCTTCTTGGGTACATTTTGGGGCTGGGATAAGGGTACTATTATTGGAGGGTCCAGTCATTCACCAGCATTTGCAAAAGTCCAAAGGGAGCAGGTGGCAGTCACTACTCCCAGCAACAAGTTTGTGTTCTCTCCTTTACTCTCTTTGCCTCACTCTCTCCAGTTGGATTTCAAGCTGGGGCCTGAAGGGCATATTAGTCCTTTGAC